GTTAATGCCCTTGGCCTCAAGCAGCGCTGGCATCCCAGTGTGGCTGTGAACAACCCCCTGGATGGTCCCACAGCCCGTAGGGTAAACAGCTCCAGAGAAAGCCCTCACGCACAAAAATGCCTGTGCCCTCCTGAACGCCTGGTGCAGCTGCTACGTGCCAGCAAAAAGGTGGCCTCTCCAGCAGCTTCAAGACACATGCCTCGGGGCAGCCTGCTTTGGTCTGCAGCACTCTGTTCAAAATCTACTGCTTTCTAATTAGCACCAGCGATTTCTAGAAGGAAGCTGAGTACAGGGAAAACCAAACCCTCCCTGTTGCAATGGCTCCTCAGCTATCTGTAGCTCAACCACGTTTTTTTCCCCAGGGAAGAAAGATGCCAGATGGTTTGATAAATGCCTATTTGACCTGTTCCGTGAACTAAATTCAATGAGTTTGGATTTCCAGGCTCTTTATGAATCCATTAATCTTCTTAAGTGCTAAATTCATCTGTGTATTATAAAAGGCTGTTTTTCAAACCTAGTCCAGCCCAATGCTGTAGAGGCATATTATGTTAAGGATGCCTTTACAGGAGCAGTATTTCATCCTGTCAGGCAAGGTTTATCAATAGGCTTGGCACAGATGGTAGGACATTGGGCACAAATGGTTGTATTTCACTTCCTATAAGTATGGATGCCTCATGAGTGAATTGTTTTTATAACCCACATTTTCATTTTCTGCGCTGAAATACGAAAAGCTGAAGATCGTCTTACTGTGCAGTTGTTGAGGATGGCTTTCAAGTCAATTAGTTCGTCAAAGATGCTTCGTTTTATCTGCAAGAATGGCAGATTTGAAAGTGAAGCAAAATGTAGGTTTTAGTGGAGATTGCGCTGTCAGTTGACGGACGAGGGGACTGTATATCATACTTTGCTGTGTGACAATGGGGCCAGTGACCTTGAGCATCAATGATTTAAATGTCTCTTGTAGTCAAATACCCTAACTGCTTGCCTCAGAAAGCTTTCCCTGTGCTGCTGTAATACAGCTGTGGCTACCAAGAAAGTGTGTGTGGCTGGCATCATGCTACATGTCATGGGCTTTCAGCTTCTCTGCAGTAACGGGGACAGACTTCATGCTCTCCTGCTCCAAAATCCTGCTCTTCCCAGCTGAGCCAAGAGATCAGCAATGTGTGTTGCCAGTGGTACAGAGCATCTGGCACATGAGTGCTCCGAGTTGATGAGGAAAAGCCCGTGAGTCTGTGCATTGCTCTCACTTTGCTCCTCTCTCCTCCGTGTTGCTCCTTCCTTGTAACTCTTTCTGCTCAGTTTGGGCATCGTCTTTAGTGTGCGCTTACCGGGAAGAGCAGCAGCCTCTGGGGAAGGACAGTGAAGAATGACTGCTCAAAAGCCCTGACAGGAATTCTAGCACCATGAAATCTTGTATTAGACTAGAAGAGCCTGGTTCATTCTTTCATGATCCTTGTTTCTAAGCTCTTAGCAAAGGGCTTGTTTCACTGGTTACATGGGTAGACGCCAACTCATAATTGCATTTTTTTTCTTTGTTTTGAATCTCTTGATTAGAAAACAAGTTAAATTAGGGAACTGCCTTTTGCACAAATAGTTTGATTTTTTTCTTTTTTTTTTTTTTTTTTAAATTGTCTTAGACTAGACTTCTGCTGAAAAATTGTGCTTCAGATGGTAAACCTGAACCAGCTGTTGGTTACAAGTTCATGGCTCAGAGTTCCTTCACAAATCAATGCTGTTTTCAAAATCTGCCTCTGGCCTGAGATACCCCCAAAGATGTCACAGAACTGCAGGTCAAGCCCAGCTGAGATGCCAGTCTCAATTTACACTGGCTTTGGGATGTCCGTGTCACTGTGCCATGGGCTGAGGTACTCAAAAAGCAGGTTCTGCTCTAGGATGGTGCAGTGCTGCAGGGCCTGAGGCTGTCCTGGGGCAAGAGGGCAGCAGAAGGGAGAAATCACAAGTACAAGGAGCACTTCATCACTGCTCAGGGTCACATTATTTGATGCTACTCCAACAGGAGCATACCGACATAAAAGCACCACGACGTGGTTGCACTCACATGCTCCAGTGCCTCGCTCTGCGTGCACTGCTGAGGGCAAACACCTAATGGCCTGACAGCGATGGGGCAAGCATTTCACTGGCATTCGTGCAGACGTCTTCTGTTTGAAGTGACATGGTTCGGTGCATGGAGGAGGGTATCGTTGCAGCTCTCACCCATTATCTCCTTTCAGTAGGGTCCCAGGTTACAAAATCATTGCCCTGCACAGACTCTGCATCCCTGTCCCAAGTCAGACAGCTGCTAGGGTAGGGGCTGGTAGGACGCCTTCAAAGAATTTTTTTTTTTTTTTGACTGATTGATTGGTTAGTTTTGATTGCATTGACTGCCTGTAATCTGGAAGGCAGAGAAAAATGGCTGAAAACTTCTGCTAAACCAGTGTCTGTTTGGACTAACTACAAATGTTTTCAGCAAAGCCCCGTCTGGGAGGGTGATACGGGTGCTCTCCAGTCCTGCCCTCAGCGTGAGGTGCCAGGCATTTACTTGAAGCAGTGAGGAGGGATGGTCATCTGCTGCCTGGTGTTAGGATGTACCTCCTGACTTAAGTTTATTCAGAGACCTGGTGTTTCCAGGCCAAAGCATCAGAGGTCCTGGGAGAAGGCAATTTGTTTTAATATATGGTACTTGTTAACCCAGTGCTCGTCACCTGTGCAACTGTTTTATTAAAGATTTACAATGGTTGCTATTAAATTAAAAGGGAGAAGTGGTCAAAATAAAGAGAAAAAAGAAATGATCTGATTTTGGATATCATCTCTTGGTCTCAGAATTCTGCCCCTGTGTTGCATTCCTAGGGTTGGTGTTTAACACCTAGGGTTGGTGTTTAACATGAACATCATCACTTTTTTTATTTCTTTGAATTTACAGCTACTGCGAGTAACCTCCTGTGAAATGTAGCTCTTGGCTATTTTGCTTATTTTGTGGAGTCT